AGAATTTTGCACATCTAGCATTTCAATAATGATCAAATAAGTAGGAGCATCATGCACAACTAGGAAATACCATTTAAACCAATAATTCCAAACCTGAGTCAGCTTTGGCTGAATATACTAAGGGAAAAGAACACAAGTCTCTTATGTGGGGGTGGGTTCCTCCAATCACAGCTGTTCTCAAACTGTAACTTTATAAGAAGGGGGAATTGAGTTTTGACAAGGTCAATGCCTCAGATGCGTTGAATTGGAAGGTTCTATTCTAAATGATAACTTGCATCCAAATCTAACTTTTAAAGATAGAAAAAGAAGCATAATAAATAAGAATACTTATATGTGGACATATAATATAACTTGGGGAGCTATGAGATGCGAGGAAAATGGAAGAATTAAAAAAATAAGAGAGGATATATAGAAGACATATATGTGTACCTTTGGGCTGAGTCAGGACAGTATAATCAACTCGAAACCCATCATCCAAAACACCTTTCAAAGCTGTAGATGTATCAAAATCAAGCCTGAGAGAAGCTTCAGCGGGCACTTGGAGACCTCTGCGGCAACTCTGAAGTTGTGGATATTTTCTCATGAGCTCGTTTTTAACACCCACATAATAGACAATTGTTCTGACTCCGCAACTGATATCAATTATGTGTCCAGAAGAATAATTTGCAGAGGCCGGACAATCATAAAAGATGGTGATATTGTGGACTGATGGGTGGTACCGGAAGTGTACGGAGTCCAAGTAAATGTCATCATTTTGCGGAGAACAGAAATCAGAAGCAATGTCTGCTGTGGGCATTGGTGTCAATCTCCAGCACACGGAAATTTTGTAAACCCATCCTAAGTGTGGGATAAAACCCCTCGCAGCTGAGGTAGAATGGGTCACCGCCGCCACAATTCTGGGTTCGGTTGTTTCCCCAGAAAGGATAGGAGATGTTGGTCAGTAATCCACAGTTGTATGACTGTCGCTCACAAGGTTGTTGTTGTTGTTGTTGACAATGGAACAGTGGCAATGTTGTCAACAACAACAACAACAAGCATGCAAGTACCGTGGACTCATCCATTCTCAAGCGAAAGGACATCTTCATCTACAGAACGACGATAACAGAGAGGAGAGAGCGCAAAAGGAATGTCGGGAACAGATACGAAGAACACAACCTCTTCGTGGAGAAGAGAAATGGTGTGGAGGAAAGGAAAATGAAGAGGAAGAAGACGGAAGAGAGGGAGAAGCGGGAAATAGTGTGGAAGAAGACGGAAGAGAGGAAGAACCGCGAGAAGGAGAAGGCAGACAAAGTTTCCTCATATTGCCACTGCACCAAACAAGTCATACTACTGAGTTTCTCAGTTTCCATTTCTGTCTTTCTTCTGTGGATGCTTTTTTTTTAATAGTGCTATAGTAGTATTAATATTTTAATACTCGTCAACAATGTGTTAATATATTTTAATACTCGTTAGTATTAATATATTAGTAGTATTATTAATAGTAGTATATTACTCGTTAGCAATGTGTCCTTTCAGTTTTAATTAATTGAGTACAAACCTTAGTTTGTTTTTAATGAAAACTTAATATCTTTCTTTATTAATTCACATGTAATTCATTAATTTAATATGCTTAGATATTTTAAGATAATTTAAGTCAATATTATTAAATCTAGACAGGTTATATCAACGCAACTAGGATACCAAATCAATAAATCATTGGGTCATTAATTGATCGGCTCAAATTAAATTTATGTAAAAGTATATAAATAATTTTTGATTTAGTAGTTAATATTTTACTCACATTGCTTTAGTTGCTAAGTTTAACCCTCAAATAACACTAACACTGATTCAAATAGTAATATCTTAGTTTTTTTTATAAAAAAAATAATAATTAAGGGTTTGTGCTAAGTTTTTCTTTTTGAAACAAATTTTTATTTTGAGTTATTGATATACCATAATTTAATTTAAATAGCAAGTCAATGTAACGACAATAAGTTGATAGAATTTCAATATCAAGTATCAAGTTATAGGAAAAACTCTATTTGGATAACTAGCATTTTTCGTTAAAAAAATAAATAAAGTACTTAATACTTGCAGTGTTACTGTTATATACTGTTAATTGCAAGCGGGGACCACAAAAAAGCGAGGAAAAGGACACTTACAGACAATGAGAACATTCATTTGCTTGCTGGTACTATGCATTGGTAAATTGGGAAAAAGACAAAAATATATCCCTGTCCTTTTGACCGTTTAAATGAGGGGCATTGGACTGCCCTCCTTAACATATATAATCAAAGGAAAAATAAAAAACATTTTTCATTTGCTATTGATTTGAATGTATCCCTGTCCTTTTGAATGTATTTCTCGATTACCTAGTCGTGTTAGTGTCTACTTCACTAGTTAGTTATTGTACCTTTGAAATTTGCATTTTTCATTTTCATTAAAAAAAAGAAGAAGATCAACTTGCTTATCATATAGTTTTCATATCTTAAATAAAATATGCCTACTTTCACATAGACTTGTATATGCTCCATTACCTGTGTTTGGAACTGGAACTGGAAATTTTGATTAACATTGGTAAAATTTTTGTTAAAAATAGGCATTTTCTATGGTTAATAAGTGAGAAAACAAATAAAAGATAGAGAAGTGGGTGTTTATCCAATATAAAGTTATACACAGCTCTTGAGGTTTGATGAAATTACATGGAAGTTGGAACTCCTTTGTTTCCAAACCTCACTTGTTTTATATTTTAATGTTTTAAACCTCTTCTTCTTTTTCTTTTTAATGTTATGTTGGAATCTAAAGTAAAGAAGATTTTCGTAATTTCTCAAGCAAGAGTTCTTGTTATTGTGTCTTATAGACCTTATGTGATCGGTTCAACTTACATATTTTTTTTTGGTTAAGCTATATTCTATTTCTATCTATGGTATTTAGTAGTATTCTAAAATTCTTCCTTACACATACTTCTGCAGTCATTCGTGCAACAATTATGTGACAACAAATTTAAAATATTTGGTAAAGAATGACCACAACTTTAATTTATTCAACGCCATAAATCTGTTGCGAATGGAGTACTTAAGTGACAAGCATTTAAGACTAATTTTTTCTAAAATCCATCGGAACTTCACTCACATGAATGTGAATTTTTTTGAGGTAACTGGAGATTTGTGTAGATATCTAAATTCAAGTTGTAATAACCAAATGAATAAAATAGTAAAAGCTTTGTGATGCTCGAGTGGCCATTTTTTTTTAGGAAAATAAATAAATAAACAAAGTAAGCAAAGGTCGATATATCTACCCTTAAATTTCAGTGGATTAAAATAATTATACACTTTAAATCAAGTCAATAATAGATACCCATTTACTTGCTTACTTTAGATGATTCTTGTCACATTGCCTGCATGCCAATTCGACTTGTGCTATATACCGATATGGTTGTGAGGATACTAGTTGCCCCTTATTAGTGGCATCCTACTAAAACACAGCCTATAAAAATTTAACTTTTCAAGTATATCTCGTGCCTGAATTTTGCGAGTAATGTGCTTCTTTGGCGAAATAAAGATTTGCACATGACATTGTTCATATATTTTGAAGGAGAATCGTGTGCAAATGTCCGTAAAGAAGGCAATTTGTTGGCTTCTGTAGCCGCTATGGCTGCTTGCCAGAATTCATTTACTCTATCTATTTACTAGATAACTGCCATCATATTCAAGGATTAAACATTGTAAGCTCTACTTGCTTTAGTTTATGTATCATATGAACAATGGAATCTCAAGTGGGAAACAATGTCATCTCTCTTCGGTGACTGTCAAATTGGTCTCCAGGAGATTTATTCTTGAAGCCTGCTTTGTAAGACAGATTGTAATTATCCGAACTTCATTTTAAATTCAGCTTGATATTACTTGTCAATGAAAATATTATCTTTGATTCCTAGCTTTCTCATGATAAAATTCCTGGCTGACATGGCTGTGCAACCTAATTGTGCAAATATCAAGAAAAGATCACATACTGGTACCAGTAATCATTTTTTCCTATGCTTGGCCCTTGTACATGACTATTGATTTCTAGATTTTTAACCGACGCTGTTTCAGAGATCCCATGAATCCGTACTGCTTCAAGAAAATGCTGTTACAATTGAGATAATACTCAGATAAATCATGGAATATCGGATATCATGTTGGTCCTCTATAATTTTCACATTCATATGTTTAAATTTTAAATTAACATTAATTTAACCCTCAATATCTTTGAGCATCAATTCGGTCCTACATTTATACATATTCAGCACTATGAATGACCAAATTAATGTCTAAATTTTTACAAGACCAGCTTAGTGTCCCGTGAACTTTTTGGAGAACTAAATTAAATCCTTGCTCTAGTATTGATGGGTGTTTAGCCAGCTGTAATAACTATTAACCCGACATAAATAAGGAAATGATCTGAGCTTGAAGTTGACGCAGTCATAATCCTTAATCATGTTTCTGTACTTTTCCCGATCAAGAGAAATACCTGCGACTTGACCAAGTTGAACTATTGAAACTGAGTTTTTACGGCAACAGTCTAACAGAAGCAGCAAGTTATAACTTTATAGTTCTTTTTCACAAAACTGAGTTTCATGGAGGTGCAGGAATTAAAAATTGCACGCACTGTTTGACATAATGGTAGATGGTATTTACTAGCATGATTATTTTACAGAAAAAAAAAAAAAAAAGAATAAGGTTGCATAATTAAAAATAGACATGTCATCCGCCGCCCTCTCATCTATACAACTTTCAACTCCCTAAAACTGCAGCTATTAGCCTATTAGATTTCAATTCTTTTGCAACTCAAAAAAAAAGAGATAGGAATGCATCTTTAGGTAAAGATTTGGCTTGACAAACCAACTGTAGCAGTTGCAAAGTATTCTTCTGTGTCCATAGGAAACTGGCATAGAAGCTTGGAACAACGTATACTATACATGTTTAAATTCTCAAACCTGCGAATTTATGAGTATTTAGATAGATGTATAATCATATAATGCAATAAGATGATAACATAAAACGATAAAATATAAACTGTTCTACATAAGTGGGCTGCATCTCATTTGTACTCGTAAGCACATTAACGCAGCTTCCCAGTTTTCCATGAAACATTTCCAGACATCATTCACACTCAAAAATTGTCCCATACACACCAGAAGCATCATAATTTGTTTATAGGGCAAGCATGCAGAAAGCTTTCTTACCAGCCTTACTACCATCTGCGTTATCACCAAATTATGTTCTTACATGTCTCAAAACCACATGCCCATGTGTTATGTGCATTCATACACGTATTTAGGTAGGTGTTGTGTGTGGAAGCAAGTATTAACATATTATCAACTTTGTAACATAGTTAACAGCAAATGGCTTAGACGCAAGGATAATTAACCAACTCAGACCAGATCATGTTAGTGTAATAACACTTACCAACATTTGAGGTATCCTAAGGAAGACAAAGGACAGAGAATATAAAACAACTGAGATTGTTGTTGCTGTAATTAAATTGTATATAAGACGCTTGTTGTCTTTGCTGGGCACAAAAGCTATTTTCAGTGTGTTTGTCAGGTCAAAGAGCCTATAAGAAATCTGCAGGCAAGTAGAATGTTAAATCAGAATAAATCAACATAAAAAGTCTCAATCCATCTGTGTTTTTTACTTACTGCCACATATATGGAAGTAGTAAGCAGGAAGTTCAACATTGGGTAGTCTGGGATGAGGGAAAGCAACAATTTCGGTTGACCATCTGGAACACCAGACCTAAATCAATTGATAACAGAAAAAGAAAGAATTAATTTATTATGATAAATAACAAAGAAATAATGGCACACATACACAAGTTGCAGCAGGCCTGCAAACATAAACCCTTGTATGCATTTAATTATACATGGATGTATGTTAATCATTTTCCTCGTTAGACATTCACTAAGATATAACAATAAAAATTTTAACTGAAAAGCTACAGGTTTTGGATGTGGTAATCATCCAACAGTTTAAAATCCACATTCACCCCATTTCTAGTATAAAGCATTTTTAGCATTTTTAGTGTTTTTAGTATAAACACACACAAATTTTAACTGAAAAGCTACAGGTTTTGGATGTGGTAATCATCCACACACACACACAGGTTTTGGATGTGGTAATCATCCACACACACAAATTTCCACACACACAGAGGTTTTAGATGTGGTAATCATCCACACACACACACAAATTTCCACACGTTTTGGATGTGGTAATCATCCACACACACACACACTCAACTCAAATTATCAGGATGAATGTATCATGATATCTAGCAAAAGCATCAGTAAATGCTAAAAGCAAGATATCAGCTTCTGAATACCTTAACCAGATATGGATCTGGGAGATGTAGGTCTCCAGTGTAATCTTCCCAAGCCATCTAGCAGAAAGTAGAAGCATTAGAAAATTAGTTTACAAATTACTAACCTTCTCCCTCTGATGAAGTAAAGGAAGCTACCACAATGCAATACATAAATACTTGACAGCATTTAGCAAGAAATTAGCTCATTAAATACGAACATGTCCATGTGTGTTATTGAGTGTACAGGAAAGAGAGAGATGAATAAAAGATTGAACTTCTAAAAAGATAACTTACGCAAAAAGGGTCAAGGTATAGCTACGAAAACTTTGTGTCACATTCCGCAAGCATATGTAAACACTGTTAAATAAACAAGTGGCACATTAATAACTAGACGGTCTTGAATAAGCTCATTAAGGCCCCAAAAATAAACTAAAGAAAAATGGACTTACGTTATGGGAATCCACGAGGTATACGGATGGTATTTATTGTATGTAAGCTTGTCCAACTTGTATATATGCTCAAACCATAAATAACCAACCTAGAAATTAACTCAAATGGTCAGGGCCATAAAATAATCAGGGCCATAAAATAATACAAATTGAAGTGTACTAATATAACAATAGCATCAAATTAAAAAAACAAAATATAATACCAGTGAAGATATCAGCACAACAGCAGCTTTGATTGATATTCTGCGCTTGATTTCAGCTTCCTCCAATTTCTCCATCCATCGTTCAACCTATATAACTTGTGGCAGTCATTAATGTACTCAACTCAGGGGAAGAAAGAAAAGAAAATAAAAAAGACAGAAATATGAATTACCATTCAATCACAGAGGATGGAGATAAATGTTAGATTGGTTTCAATTATTTCGAAAACATAAAATGAGAAACTTACAGTTGGATGATAATAAGCATAAATCATTCCAATTATCCATATGTAGCGATCAAGCCCAGAGCGAAAATGCCATTCATGCAAGCGGGAAAATTGTGATTTGGAAGGATCAGGGTCCGTATAACCTGCAGGATTAAATAAACATCCCAGTCAGCATGATCTGCTGTTGTGCCTTCAGGTGTGAAGTAAAATATCACAAATGTTACTAACCGAGCAAGAAAGTTAATGGACTCCAAACCCATTCAAAGACTCCAGGTATCTCCCATATTAAAATAACAACCAAGAAGCAAGCAATGATTTTTACAGCAATGACCGACCCAATCTCATTGTACTTGTTGAGAATACCAAGTGCCCCATAAACCATAAGGGTGAAAAGAGTGTGCATGGGGCAGATGTAGTATAACGTGTAACTGTTGTTAAGTACAATACAACTGAACAATACCAAGAAATTAAGCCGCCACATCATCTGCTCAACCAGAGAAAGTAAGGGAGACGTTACAGTTACTACAAACAAAATATAAAAAAGCAAGCTTTTATAGTTCCGGGAAACGGCCTACCTGAGCGAATCTTGCTAGACTAAAATCTTTACGAACATAATAATATGAGAAGTTCCCAAATCCAGTCATCCAAACATATGCAGCAATGAACAAACGGATTGCGTTGTAGATTTCAGATGCAGCAAAGTAATGATACATCAAAAACAAAACCTGTGAAAGATGTCCAACGGTAGAAATATGGAATGTTAAAATTTGAAAAAAAATTACTATATAAAATGTAAGCACCGTAACAATTGAATTATCAGAAGATCTGATGAAAAAATCTACAGCAGAACTGAATTGTGCTTCCGCTATATTAAGTGCATTAATTTTGGATCTAAACTTCCATAATTCAGGAGTTGCACAGAAACTTTTTCCAAAATAAATGATAAGAGACAACTTCAGCAATATAAATTGAAAAAGAGACCAACCTGCATCCAGCCTTTCCATTCTTCAGTCTGGTGCCTATTTAAGTAAAGGATGGATTTCCCAGACAATGGTGACTTGTCATGATGTATCTTAAAGGAAGTCATTGCTGAAACTATGATCAGGAGAAAATATAGAAAGAGGAAGAGATCCCTATTGTAACTCTGCAAAAACAGATGATCATCGACCAAAAATCATATCAGTAATGCACAGTAGCCATATGACAAAGCAAATTTTTCAAAGCTATGCTAGTGCTTTCATGGATAAAGCACACACAATTTGGTATACTATATCTTGCTAGCTTGTGATCATTAGTGTTGGGTACTTGCTAAGGTGGAAAACTCTGCATGTATTGATGTAACAAGTAATTATCTCCTTTCTCTTTTTATTCTTTTTACCCCCTTTATTGATTGGGTTCAATCATTTGTCAGTTAATACTTCAAGAAAAATAGTACAGCCTTCCTTGGATTGTCCTAATTTCACACAGACAACCCCTCTATTTCAAAACCGTGAAAATTCAGGGGAGTTCTGGGTTGGTTTTCAAAATAGATGGAGCTTCAAGAAAAAACAGGAAAATACAGGGAAATTGGAGTGTTCCCTCTAATACTTCCTATTCTACTGACTTCCACTTTTCATCTACTTGGGTTGTATTTTCATCTTGTAAAAACAAACCGACCAATTCTTATGTTCTTCTTTCTGCTATCTGCTTTTCCATTTGAATTCTGCAAATGGATTTCCAATATTTAGGAAGCATTAAGATAAAAATGCTAGTAAGTACTTCAATCTTTTCTCTCAAAACTGTTTGAAAACCTAATATAGGAAAACCTTATAGCAGTGTCTATCATGGCTACACAAACGATAGAAATATGAAGTGCTATAAAAGATGCAATTATGTTCAAACACTATGAAGATAACAGATAAGATCAGCTAAATAGTCATGTCTGCATGCTGCAATATTTGCTTGCTAAACTGACTATCCAATCACAAAATTAGTGCCCTGCAATAAGTGAAATAGAAAACGGAAGTAACATGATGAAATTATTAACCAACCTTCTTTGATGAGGCAAAGAAATCTGTGCGATCACATAAATAAAAGTAAGCCAAAAGGAGACCAAATTCAGACCTGTAACAGGGAAAGAAACAGAAGTCAAGAGTTTGGTCCACATATAAAAATATTTTTGTCATCTCATCTAACTCACTTACATTGCTCTAAGTGTCAAACGGTTTTCAATAAGGAAATATTCATCCATCAAAAGGAATCTGAAGAAAAAATAAAAGGCCAAGTGTGTAAGTCTTTGTTTAAGCAAAAACAGAAGAGTATATAACTACGATTTAAGCAACAAAAACAAGTGTGAAATGAATTACAAACCGGAAAATTGATGTTGAAGCATTTATGCTTTGAGCTTTTGGGGATGTTGACTGTAGAGCTCCTCCCTCTAATAAAACTGCTCTGTCTTCCTCCTTAACAACATCACTACCCACTTCAACTAAGTTAATGTCCGAGAGCCTACTAGAAGAGAATAAGTCCAATAAGGAATACTGGTATCAAGTACTTTTTTTTTTTGGTGTGGGGTATCAAGTACTTAATTTCCTTGCTCTTACATATTAGGAAATAGTATTTATGGGAGAACCGTCCAACAAGATTTTTCTCTCCAAAAAGACTTAACTCTACTGCTTAATTAGCTCATAATCAGACAATGAAAATTTCAATTATAAAATATTAAAAAGAAAGAAATGAAGTAAAGTTGCATAATGTAGCTATAATAACAGTTAACAAATCCAATTAATTATTGCGAAATATACGCGTGTTAATCGTATTGCGGCCAACTATTAAACTCTTCACCGGATACCAGAGCAACTATGGCTTTCTCAAACGTGGCAGACACTACATTCCAGTAAAATGCAAACATTCTCCCAGCACGCGCAACCAAAAAATTTACGCCGCAATACGCAAAAGAATAACCAATCAAACTTACACTTTGGAAGAAACAGAATTTTTTCGATACTCCAATATCTCCGAATATATCCATGCCGCAATAACTGGAATTATCCCGAGCAAGAACGAGACCTGATCAGACACAGAAAAATCAGTTACTCGCACCAAGCATAAACACGAACACGTCAAATTATACTGTTAGCGATGACCAGAACTAAGTAACTGGCGGTGAAACACACGAATCGGTGCAAGATCCGAGAGCGGAAGAAGCTCTAGTCGAAGACGTACCTGACCAGGAGTTACAGGACTGAAGATAAGCATTTCGGAAAAGCGGAAGAGGACGAAGAGTCACAGCACAGTTCCGATGCACCGGAAGTCACAGGAACCGAAGAAGCATTCGAAGAAGAGAGCGATTAAACGCTGATCCACGACCAGATCTGGTGCAGAAAAAGGTTGAACCCTAGATTTGCGAGAATGAGATTGAGAATGATAATAATCCTCTATATAAGCAAAATGCTGGCTGTGGTTGGGTTCGTTTCGTAAGTAGCACTAACTGTGCGTCTGTGTCGGAGAAGGTGAAAAAAAACGAGTGCAGAGCAGAGAGTGACTTTTAATTTTAACTAATTTTTCTTACCTTTTTTAAAACGATGAAAATGCCATTGCCTCTAACAATTAAATTGTTAAATACGGAAACTATGAGCTGTGCTTTCAAGGTGCGACGATCTTACGCACCGACGGTAGATGACGCGGATGAGTTCTACGGTACGAAGAGACGGTAACATTATTATTTATATGTGCTCCTTTTCCCAATTATTGTGGCTCCAATCAAGGAATATTAAAATAGAAGAGGATTTTGACTTTTGTTCTACCGTTAACTCCTCAAGTTTCTATGGTTTGGATTTTGGAAAAGTAGATGTACGTTACTACTACGGACAATTCAATTTAACCCGCACGTAGCCTTCCATGGATATTTTTAAATACAATTAAAATATGTATGTATATATATATATATATATATATATATATAATCAAAAAGTATTTAAGAAAAAATAATTCAGCTGGTAAAAAAATATTTTATTAATAGTAAAAAATAATTTAATTGAATGAAGATTTTTTTGTTCAAAACTTGTATGAATATCTCATCATGTTTAATATTGACTAAATAAATTTAAAAAATAAAAATAATCGAAAAAGAAATAACAAAATAAAAAATATTAATTTGATATAAAAGTATAAAATACATATATCATAAAATAAAATAAACTATTCAAAAATTATCAGACTCAAAATAGGATAAGTGGAATTTGTTACCCGGAATGAATTTGTTTCCATTTTTTATTATAGTCATAGATCAAGTTCAGTTTCCACAATTCTTGTAATCCCGAAAAATAAATGATTGATGTGGCAATATAGAGAATAGAAACGAAAGTTTCAAGGATATTTTAGTCATTGAATGAACGATAGTGCCACTACACCCGTCCAACTGGAAGGGATATAAAAGAGCGTGTCCTACAGTATCACCGACACTAATATTCATTCCCTTCCTCTCTGAATAGTGAATATGATCCAATTCTCAGCGCGTCCCACGCCCAACTAATCATTGCAGATATCATTTACACCCGAGGGCTGAGGCTCCCTCTGCGCTTGTGGGTGCCGTAAAACACATACATACAAAATTGAACAATTTATTCATACACCCTTGCATATTTTTTAAAAAAAATTACTGTGCCCACTGTATAGTTCTATGCGATCAACCTGCTTTTTTCTCATTCGAGAAGTTTTTTATAATTCTTTACAGCGAAGCAAAAAAGGAGAGCAATATTATACAGTTATTAAGCCCATGCAAATCATCAAGCCCAAACGTATTAGTTTACAATATTGGACTCCTCTAAAGTCTCTATTCACTTCAGAGTTATAACAATCGGTTGATAAAAATTAATTGAGCAAATTATAGTAATATCATGTTATCATACATTATACATATCAAAAAATCTATCACAATTTCAACAAATAATTTTAACATAAAAAACATGGGGAAGAAACGGTGGGCAGGGCAATATGTTCGTTTCATTCGTATCTATTGGCCTGAGTCCTGAACAATACAGCACTCTATCAATTATGAATGAGCTTTCCTTTTTGGCTAGTACGCCTTTCCCTAAAGAACTATAACAAGTGAAACAAATTAGAATGGTTTCAATCCCTCCTCCCCGAGGGGACTTACTGTGTTGCGAGCTGATTCATTCATATTCCTAATTTAGCTAATAGTATACACATCCCAATATTGCAGGTAGAAGGCAACGTAAATCAAGCGCAACAAAATTACGCCAGGCCCTCCTCCAGCCAAATCCAGCACCAACCAACCCAGTTGTCGAAACTCATCAAAGTAAAACTAAAACGTGACGCACATATTTTCAGCAAACAAACGGAAAAAAAAACGGGGGTAAATATATTTTCCATTCAGATTTCAGAATAGACCCAATATATCATGGACACAAATTGGGGAATTCACTTTTTGGGTACCTAAAAAAGAAGAGTTTAGTACTCTCATCGATCCAGCATTCACAAGTTCACCAGACATGATGCACCCATTAACATGTAACAACAAATAAGTACAATAAGATTGTAATCAAAATCCGTTATCTAAAACCAGAAGAGATGTACCAACAATTTTAGGGTATCACAAATAGTAAAGCAGGAACTACCGACCTACAAAGTACAAAGAAGCTAAAATTTAGGTATGCAAAATTTGTTCTACCACGTTTTAACCCACTATAGACCAATCATAACTAGTAAGCCTATTACTGCTGCACCATAATAATACAAGAGAGAAAGAAACAATTCCATGAACCTACTTATCCTTTCTCTGAAAGGTATTTAACGGACAGAGGGTGATATGTTTACCTATAGTTTACTTGTCAAGTCCTCAAGCAAAGAATGGACACAAATCTATCGCTTAGAGGGCCTCTCATCATCTTCTCCACCATCATCATCATCGTCATCATCATCATCATCTTCATCTTCATCTTCATCATCTTTATCTGACCTCTTTCTTTTTGGTGGAACCTCAGCCTTCTCGCCATCATTGTCGTCACCTTCATCATCCTCCTTGTCGTTCTTCTCTGGTTCAAAATCACTAGATGCTTCCTCCTCCTCAGCAGTGCCTAAAGGGCGAACAAGGTACTCTGTTCCCAAATCCTCCTAGAATTTTTTTGCGTCAGAGTAATTCAAATGCAGAAAAACACAAATCAAAACAGAATTATACTTACAGTCAAGTGAAAATACAATAATGGAGCAACAAATTAGGTGCAGATAACCAAAATTTATGTCACTGTCTTCATTTTGAAGCTCACTTAAAGATGGTCGATTAAGTGAGACATGTTCTTGAGTTCTTTGAGCAAACCCAATCCCTCCTCCCCCCAAACAACAACAATCATAAGGCTGAATTGATGAAAATTCAAGTAATCCAAAATATGCCAAAAAAGGACCTGGTCCATTACATAATGCACATTCCAAGTGAATAGGATTTTTTTTTTTTACCAAAAATGGTTAGCATCAATAAGACAACAAGTAAGAAACAGCAAGCAAAATCAAAATATAAATGAACGAACTATAAAAGATCAAACAATAATGTATACTAAAGAATTGAGCAATTTCATGATATTATAAATAATACAGAAAGTTTCCTGGATGTCTAAAATCCTCAAGAAGTACATTTTAAAATGTGCTATCAATTAATAATTAAGAAGATCCAGACGAATTAAGATCTAAATCCTCCTTTCTCCTTTTGCAATCGATGATGCACATAATTCTGAAACAGAAATCCTATTTAATACTGAGCATACAAAGGGAAAAGGGCATGGCACTGATGGCAGCAGATAGAGGCTAAGCCCTTCCCATCACAATAGGAAGAAAAAAAAAATAGAATGCAAAGTATAATAACGTAACATCACAAAATAATTAGTTTCACAACAGAAAAAAAAAAACTGAGAAAGCTGCAAAATCTTAACAAATAAGAATAAATGATAAAACGAACAAGCTAAAAAAGAGTTCATAGCTCAGAACACATTCAAGTTTGAAAAATTAAAAGGGAAATCAAACGAAACAGGTGCAAAATGATAAAAAGAGATAGTAAACAATACAGAATCAAGATTTGCGAAGACGCAAAAAATGAAACAATTCAAAAAACTTAGGGTTTTAATGAAGTAAATCTAAGTCAATTACCTCCTCCTCGTCATCATCATCATCGTCTCCGTCGTCGTCGTCGTCGGGATCACCACCACGCTCGCCGTCACCTCCTCCTCCTTCTTCTTCTTCCTCATCGTCGTCGCCGCCACCTTCAGGAGCATCATCGTCATCCTTCTCGTCGTCATCGTCGTTTTCATCATCATCGTCCTCGTCCTCGTCCTCGTCCTCATCCTCGTCGTCGTCTTCATCATCTTCTCCGTCGTCTACATCATCCTCGGAGTCATATTCGTCCTCATCCTCATTCAAAACAGTGACCTCGTTTTCCTCAGCATGCTCCTTCAATTCCTCCATATGGCCTTGATCTTCAAGTCCAATTACCACAGCACTTTGGAAACTCCTTGTTCAGCAAGGAGGAAGAAATCGATCGGAGATCGAGCACGGGAGAATAGAGAAGACAGCCAAGTTACCAGCCTCTTCCCTTCGTTCCTCCAGTTGCTCTGAAAGACTGATCTGAGCCGTTGAAACACGAATTGACACGGATCGATGAGGTGGCAATCGATCGGATGGTCATCGTACAAGCATTTCTATTTCAACGCAGATAGTGTGATTGCGCGTTGCGGCGCCCTGCAACACTGATCTGAGCCGTTGAAACATGAACTGACACGGATCGATGAGGTGGCATTCGATCGGATGGTCATCTTACAAGCATTTCTATTTCAACGCAGATAGTGTGATTGCGCGTTGCGGCGCCCGCTACTCCTATTTTCACAGTCACGTGTGTCACGTGCTACGAAAGTATGTTAATCAAGGATTTCTTTTTCGGAATTTTTTTTTTTTTGAGATATTTTAATTTGTTCATCGTTTTAGGACTAATTTGATTCAAGATGGATCCGAAATTAATGTTTTAAACCATCTTACCAAAGACAATACTAGAAAGGATAAAGATATATTCTCACTTCTACAATTCTACCAAATGAACTACTATAATTTGATAATTGTTGATTCATCCAGCTACTCCACGTCTGTCCAAATTTCAATTAATTTTTATTGTTGGTTTGAATTTTTTTTCCTTTTTCTCTTATTTTTGAAAACTAAGTGAAATGAAAAATATTTCAGTGTTTACTTGAATCTAATTTTTCTTTTAAATTACACATGCAATTTGATATCTGCTTCCATCTCTAAATACCTGAAAAAATTCGTAACAATTATTCATGTAATTCTTAGCAAGAATAATGACTTTAAAAATTAAATTCTTAATATTATAAGTACAGTTTGTTTGAAGTTATGCTCAATTCTTACTGTTGTGTATTATTACTAAATTTAGATATATTAAATTTTTTACCTGTGTTTAAATACTTTTAATATTAAATATTTTATTAAAAAAGTATTACAACCATATTTTTATATATTGTCGTCAATTTCTTTTTTTTCTTATGAAAATGGAGGGCCTAGCCCAGACAAACTATAATGATAATTGTTGCATGCTCAAACAGCAAATGAGAACGAAAGGTGTTCCAAACAGCTAAGGAACTAGCAGGGGAGAGGGAAAGTACAATAACTCTTCACCCTTATTATTAAATCCTAGTTTAGCTAAACTATCTGCACATTTATTAAGCTCCCTAGGAATAAAATTCCAAAGGATTTGATCAAACCTCTCAGCAGCTTTTCTAATTCTGCCAATTAAAGAAGTAAACCCCATCGATTCTCTTCATTTTCAATACAGAGGAGAGCTTCTTTGCTATCACATCCAAGCCATACCCTTGAAAATCTCCTATCACCAGCTAGTTTGAGACCATGTAGGATGCCCCATAGCTCAGCCTCCAGAGGAGAGCAAACCCCTATCTTGAAAGAAAAACCTCCCAACCAAATTCCATTTGAAGAACACATAAAACCACCACATACTCCCATGCTAGAATCCAAGTTTACAGCCCTATCCACACAAATTATAATTGATTCTTGTGCTATGTGCTGTCCAGTATCCTCCAAGTTAGAACATAATTATGGCTTTAACAGTAGAGGATAAGTGGATCTATTTTTTTTTCATATCAGTGAGGTAACTTAGAATTCTGCTTGTAGGGTCTTGAGGCCAAGAAAACATATCCTCATGTACTGAAGCATTTCTCCATTGCCAAATAAACCAACATGATACAAAAAAAACTTCTTTCCAAGACTGCCAGAAAGAAGTTGAAAAAGGTTTTTCCAAATTCATTCTAAACCATTCCACTCCATCTACAGTTGTGAAGCTACTAGGAATACTTCCAGCAAACCAACTTTCCCATATGCTCCTTGCAGCCTTACAGTCTCGAAGGGTGTGAATAATAGTCTAATGACCATTGAAGCAAGTGGGGCATTGAATTTCCCCTCCACTCCAGTGACATGTGATACTCCTAACAGGGAATTTGTTGAGACAGGCTAACCACAGAAACACAGCTATCATGTATGGCCCTCTCCAATTCCAAATAGCTGACCATATTTTATCTTTCCTAGCTCATGTCTCCAGAGTTTGACAATAAGCATTCTTCACAAGAGATTTTCCTGGACTATTTGTTTTTCCAGTTTAGCCAATCCTCTATATTGCTAGGTCTAGGGGGAATGCTATATAATTTTTTTAGCACAGCTTCATCAAGGAACCTCATCAGATAACACCAGTTCCATTCCCCTGTACTCAGATCAACAAGCTCATGAACTCTCAGATCAAGATCAGTATTGGGAGGTTTATTTGAAGCCAAATCAAACAGCTTGCTTTGCCATCCTCCCCAGTCATCAGTCCAGAAAAAAAATGTCCTTGCCATTGCCTAGCACCCACTCTATATGCTGAGACATCCTCTCTCTGGCTGAAACATATATTCTTCCAAAGAGTAGAGTCACTCTTTTTTGCAATTAGGCTGCATTTAGGATTCTGCTTCCTGCCATATTTACCAATCAGCACCTAAGCCCAAAGGCTTTCTTGATCATTGACAAGTTGCCAAGCAATTTTCTGCATCAATGCTTCATTTTGGATTCTCAACTTAATGATACCAAGCCCTCCACACTCCTTAGGGTAGCAAAGTTGATCCCATGCAACATAATGAGCTCTTCCAAGCTGCTAAACCTTACTGAGAAGAACTCATTTCCAAGGTTCGCCACTGTTATGCTCCCAGCCTTAGCCCACGTAGCCTCAAGTCTTTTCTTCATGAAACCAACCCCAATCTTCCTCCCCGACAACTTTACAATCAAAGCATTCTTCCATCGCTGCCTCATCCTTGCTCTAGCTTCCTTGTTGCTTCTGATTTCAACTGATCTGTCCTCCCTTATTACTGTTTGAAAACCCCAATCAAAGATCTCTCCCAAGCTCGGGTCCAGGGGCTCCAGATCTGCTTCTTCTTCTTCAAAAATCCAGGGTATAGCGTCGCCTGACACACTATTCTCTACCCCCGTCACTTCTGCAAATGATCTCTGTTTCTCGATCACCGAAGATCCAGCTTGATACTCTTTCAGCACTTCTCGCATCCTAGCTTCTGTTGGAATTTCATCTCCATTCTTAGTGCGTTTAGTACTCCTTCTTGACATGGACAGACTCTCACTACTACTATTATTCATCTCCCCCATTGAAAGCGTCGAAGAAAAAACGGTTAAAAGAACCCTAGCAGAAAGAAAAATTTTCGCGCGCGTGTGGATACGTGCCTAACCTAACCCATTTTTAGCATAAATATTCTTTGTCGTCAATTTCTTTTACATTCGCTTTCTAAACCCGTATTATGTTTTGAAATAATTATGTATTATGTTTTTGGTAAACAAGAAGGGCGTGGGCTACGCTTGAGTGACTCTAAGAAATGGTCACTTCTCAGCAACGTGGGACTTAGCATTTAGCAATGAGCCAATGAGTAGTTCAGACACAAAAAGCGGTATTTCTTAAGCTTCGACCATTACCAACAAGCATCCAAGTCTAACAAATCTTGTAAAAACCTTTGATGCATTACCCAGTGGCAAAAAATTCAATATAATATTATTTTAATAAAAAATTATGAAAATATAATTCATTTTCAACCAATTTACTAATCTATTGGGTCTCGCCCAGATAAGAGGAGTTTGGCTCATGGAAACCGCCTAAAAAAGGCGAGATCGTTCTTACTTAATTTGGGTGAGACCCATCAGCATTCATATGTACGTAGCACAAAAAGTCAATAATTTGAACGTAAAATTTCGAAAGGTCATAACTGTTGACTCTGATATCCAAATCAGATAATTTTTCGAGATTTACGCAATAAAATATTATTGAAGGAAATTTGATGACAAATTATTTGGAATGTTAATCTTGGTATGTACAATGATCCAGCTATACAACTCTGAACTACTTGCACAGTCCATCCGTAGAAGGAAGATGCCAGCTCGTTTAAAGGAATACTTTAAGGGAAATCATTATCTCCATCTACATGAGATAAGAATTTTTTCCTACACAAATTCGTTTTCCGTGCCAATTAATTTTTCTTTTCTTTTTTAATTTAAAATGTGGGACCCACATTTAACTTATCTCTACTTTTTTTCTCTCCTACTATCCTACAACATAAGAAAATATGCACCCATACTTTAATGGCTAGCATTATTTTAAGATCCCATAATTCTGTTGATTGTTGTAATTTTGGAAGTGTTTTGAATTTTATAATATATTTTATATATATGAGAAAGGTTATATTTATAAAAAAAGAAATATGTTTGCAACCTCTTACAATCATATTTTAATCGTTGATTTCCGTTAATCTAACGGTTATAATTTATTAGACCATATTTATTATTAATTATTAAATCTCAATAAATTATAATTGTCAGATTGACAAAAATCAACGATTAAGAAAGAAATTGTAAACGAAAATATATTGTAAGTATATAATTTTTCATATTAAAAATGTTCATATAATTTTATAAGAAAAAAGTTTAAATTTTCTCATGCCATTTCAACCTTGTGTCGGCAATGGGCATTGATATTAATTAATTCTTCTCTTGGTTTTATGACGCGTGTATTCAGCCACGGGAGGAGAGAAGCTCAACGAAAGCAACAAATGAAAGGGGGAGTTAAGAGAAGAAAGGAATTCAGGGCTCGTTTGGATGAGCTTTTAAAAAAATGACTTTTATGCATTTCTTTTTTTAAAAGAATTTTTTTAAAAGAGGTAAAGTTATTTTACGTTTTGATGTATGATCTGAAAATCACTTTTACATAAAAAAGTTGTTTGGATGTTAAAATAAAAAAAAATTATATATAAAATTACAATAAAAGAGAGATAAAATAACATAATCGTGGGATAAGGAGAGATAAAATAGATATGATAGGATGAAGTTAAAATTGTATTTTAAAATTTAATATTTTTTTTTCCAAAAAGATATATTTTATATTACCTTTTTATTTTTGCTTTTTTCTAAAAGCAACTAACTACTGTCTAAACAAAATAACATTTTAACTTTTATTTTAAATTTTATTTTTTAAAAAAATTGTTATCCAAACATCTAAAAATTCTCAAAATGACTTTTATTTTAAAAAAAATTAGGAATAAAAGCTCATCTAAAAGCACTTT